TGTTGTTTTGGTTTTTTCACTCGAAATGTAAGCGATACTCTGCGTTCAAAGTACGCTGCCCCGATTTTGAAATTACAGTAAATGGTAACGCATGGATTTTATTTACATGAAATTTAGTTTATTTCAAAATGATATAAATGTCAAACCATAATTATTATTATTTGAAATGTTGTTTCTTGACTTGACTTTTCTGGCTTTATGTTTTGTGTGTGCGTTTGTTTACAATATCATTATCAAACAACAGTTATTCAGTGGCCCCGTCTCTGAGGCAGTAAGTCGCGGTTTCGACTAAGTCGCGTAGTTCGATGGGTCCGGACGATTGTATTGTGTTTTGCCGTCAGTTTTAAAGTAGAAAAACAAAGTCTGGTATTATCGCGTATTTAATTGCCCGCTCAATCAGTTAGGAGGTGACAACTTAACACCTACAGACCGTTCAATTACTGAAATAGAAAGGGTGATGGCAGCCTGACTCGAGGTGTCGACAGGGGTATAAAAAATAAGTTTGCGTATTTATTGCAAAGCAACGCATTATCAAGTCGGCAAAGTTGAAATATTCACAGCCAGTACGTAAACAATGAAAAACAAGTTCGCGCAATTATTACGCAGACAACGCATTATCAAGTTGGCAAAGTTGAAATATTCACAGCCAGTACGTAAACAATGAAAAACAAGTTTGCATAATTATTACGAAGGCAACGCATTATCACGTCGGCAATGGTGAAATATTCACGACCAGAACGGTAACAATTTTTACGTAGGCAACGCAGAGCCAGTAAAAATTTGCGTAATGGGATGTTTATAATAAAAAGGTCAACTTGCGGAGCGCGAATGGTCACCAAGGTAACAACCCACTTGTGCAGCGCATGACCTGGGGTTAAACTTGGGCCAAGGTTTATTAGATTTTTCGCTGATCACCCAGTTGTTGTAGTATATATTGTAGCACCAAGTGTGTGACACTCCCTCTTCGACTTCGACTTTGACTTGCTTTTCCTACTTAGTACATGGTCTCGAGGTAACGTAAACTGCGGCCTCTCATCGAGTGTTTTACACTTGGAATTTATACTTCACCCGATTATATTGGTATACGCGAAACATTAATCTTTTAAAATAAATCCTGAGACTATACATGATGTAAATTCAAAATAATGTGATAATATTTTACATTATGTGGGGTCTACATTATTCTAGGTTGCTTTGCGATGTTATACCAAGACTCGTGAAAATAAAATAGTGTTCTTCTGCAAACTAATAGACTATTTTTCCAATCTTCTGGTACCACTCGATTTTATTATTTGAACTTGGCGGCAAGTAACCTTTAGTTTCCCAGTCTATTGTGTCCATTCATAGTCTTAACAATAGGGTGTAAATTACCATGCGAGCCTACCGCACACGACCGCGGTAAACCGGGGTCATGGAATCTATGCATAAATTTGCATAAAATGCGGTCGACCGGTGAGCACCCACCACCACCGCGGTAATGACCGCGGTAAACCGTGAGTTTGATTTCCTACTCTTCCCTAAATCGAAGTAAACCTGTACCATGTGCTCGACTCAGAGTGACACTCTTATTGTGTTTTCTGTGTTAATTAGTCCCCGTTCAAAGTCCGAAAACGGGGACTTATAATTTGGTCTCCGTCCGGAGTCTTATTTCAGAATCCTTTGGACCGATTCCGTTCATTCTTTGCATGTGCCTAGTACTTTATGTGGGACTTGCATACCGTACTCAACCGCGTTAGCACCCAGGGGCCTCAAATCAGAAAATCGCGATTTTGTGGTGGTGGGCGCTTACCCGAGCACCCCCCTCGAAAAAGAGTGCAAATGAAAATTTTGATTCATCAAGTGACAGATTACGTCTTTGAGGGAAAATCAAATTACTAAGGGGTGATCTCATATTGAAACATGCGGGTGAAACCTACGAAAACCTAAACCGCCCGAACAAAACCCAGTTTTGCGGTTTGGAAGTTTAAACAATAGACAGTGCGGTTCAGGACGACCGCATGAATTTGCATAAAAACTGCGGTTCGAACCGA